CTGACGCTGAGCGAGATCTGCGAGTTTATCAGCGGCCGCTTCCCCTACTACCGGGAGAAGTTCCCCGCCTGGCAGAACAGCATCCGCCACAACCTCTCGCTCAACGATTGCTTCGTCAAGATTCCCCGAGAGCCGGGCAACCCCGGCAAGGGCAACTACTGGACGCTGGACCCGGAGTCGGCCGACATGTTCGACAACGGCAGCTTCCTGCGGCGCCGCAAGCGCTTCAAGCGGCAGCCGCTGCCGCCGCCGCATCCACACCCGCACCCGCATCCGGAACTGCTGCTGCGTGGTGGGGCCGCGGCGGCTGGGGACCCCGGCGCCTTCCTGCCCGGCTTCGCGGCTTACGGCGCCTACGGCTACGGCTACGGGTTGGCGCTCCCCGCCTACAGTGCACCCCCGCCGGGCCCAGCCCCGCATCCGCATCCACATCCGCACGCCTTCGCTTTCGCCGCCGCAGCCGCGGCTGCGCCTTGTCAACTGTCGGTGCCCCCAGGCCGTGCCGCTGCGCCTCCACCCGGACCCCCGACGGCGGCGGTGTTTGCCAGCGCAGCCTCGGCTCCGGCCCCGGCGCCTGCCCCGGGCACCGGGTCGGGCCCGGGTCCCTCAGGCCTGCCTGGCTTCCTGGGCGCGGAGCTAGGCTGCGCCAAAGCCTTCTATCCCGCGTCACTGAGCCCTCCCGCAGCCGGCACCGCGGCGGGTCTGTCCACTGCACTCTTGCGCCAGGGCCTCAAGACAGACGTGGGCGGAGGTGCGGGCGGCGGGGGGTCCGGGGTAGGGCAGAGGCCTTCCTTCTCTATAGACCACATTATGGGCCACGGTGGCGGCGGGGCAGCACCCTCGGGCGGCAGCGAGGCTTCCCCAGGATCGCCGTTCGCGGCGGCCGCGGGTCCTGGGGGTCAAGCCCAGGTTTTGGCCATGCTGACTGCCCCGGCCCTGGCTCCAGTGGCCGGCCACATTCGTCTCTCGCACCCTGGGGACGCACTCCTGTCCTCAGGGCCACCGTTTGCCGGCAAAGTCGCCAGCCTCAGTGGCTGCCACTTCTGACCCAGGCGGGCTTAGGGCAAGTTAGGCCCGCACTCCTCAGCCTCTCCCGGGAGCTCCTGCGGTCCCAGCGGAACTCAGGGAGTCTATTTATGAAGAGTCTCCAGACCTGGGGCCGTCGCGCGACTTGGCACTTCAGGCTCCACGCTTAGAATCTCGCCGATATTTGGGACGAAGCGGGCTCCATTGTTCAGAAAGAAGCCCAGGTCTATGCGACAAGGTCGCAAGCAACGATCCTGTTCCAGTTTGAGCAGTAAAAGGGTGGGTGGATGGGAATTTTCGCCTTTTCCCAGCCTCTGAGCCTCTTGGCAGCCCTGGAAGAATGCTTTCCGGGAGAGGTGCCGCCCTGACCCTTCGGATCTTGCCAGAAACACCTACTGCGATGAGAGAGGTTCCCCTTTATGCCTCTCCCTTACTTCTTCTCCAACGTGGAGTCCCTGCTTGTCCAATATTATAATTTAAAGACAATTATTATCCACTTTATGCTAAAAAAGGAAGCCTTTTTTTTTTTTTTTTTTTTTGCTGTTCTCTAAGAAAGTTAATTCTCTCTGACGCCTAAAGCAGAGTCTATGAAGGCAAAGCTGAATGGAGAGGTGTCGTCACAATCCCGGAGGAAACCTCCACCCCACTCCACTGTGGAAAAACCTTTCTCTTTTTCGTGTTTGGGTGCTTTTAAAGGAACTTTCCCGTTTTCCCGCGGCTAGCTGGGTCCAGCCACCCAGAGCAGCAGCCCTGTCAGCATCCTGCTCTGCCCTAGGCCCTGTGATATTTATTGTAGCTAAAGGCAATGAGGTTGGGATGGGAGAGGAGGGTCTGGGTCAGGGACTGGAGAGCTGGGGGATGGGCAAGGGCACATCCTGTGGCAGGAGGTCGTGTAATTATCTGTAAATATCTGTACAGCCGGCTGCTATCTGCATTCTCGTCAACTGGGTGTGCATTGATTTAGACTTCTCCACTGAGGGGAAATTCTGTGAAATCCTCTGATGGTTTGTGTGGAAGAAAAATTCTGTTTTTCCCCACTCCCCACTGATGTCAATTGAATAAATGTATGTGAACTTCAGCAGTCACCAGGTCTGTCTGCTTGCCTGCATGCCCTTGTCCCTGTCAAGGCTCTCCCAGAAGTTCCCCAGCCCTGGACAGTGGAGAAGTGAGGAAGGACCCCTGGGTAGGCCAGGCAGGCAGAAGAGGAGTTGGCTTATGAAATACAGGAGGCACTGAGGCTTCAAACTGTTAATGGGGCCAGTATTCTGGGAAGCTGTGACCCTCTTCCAGCACTTTCATTTTTGCTCTTGTCCTAGGACGTTTTCTGCCTGGAGTTGGGCAGAGAGGTGTTATTTCAAATGCACCTGGGTAGTCTCATCTCCTGGTTGAGACTCCAGCAGAGCCTGGGCAGATCTGGGTGTCCACTGTTTGGGACACTGTACCCTTTCCGTATAATTTGAGGTGAATGTGTCTTTTGATGAACATTTTGTCTGCCTCTTTGTGTATCTCTGTGGGGGACTTTTATGGAGCTTATTATTTGAATTTTTGTCTGGATTGTCATGTGGCTTTGCTTTTTGTGTGTGTATGAACATGTGTGGAGACATGTTTTTATTGCCCTTTGTGTCCGTGGATGTGTGTCTGTGGATGTGCTCTGTGATTCCCTGTCACTGCCTCTGTGTCTCTAAAAGGAGAAAGATTTGTGTTTGGCCCTTGTAGTGTCTTCTTTGGCACTCCTTCCCCTCACAGACCAGTTATCATGAAGACCTTGACTTGAGGACTGTGAAACCCCTTTCTCCTCCATTCCAAGAGGGTTAGAATTGCACTATGAGCTCAAGAGGAGCTCTGGTAGCTCAGTGCCTAAGGCACTTGACTCTAACCAGAAGGCTGGTGGTTCAAATCCACCCGCCACTCCTCAGAAGGAAGGTTGGGCAATCTACTTCCTTAGTGATACTGCCTTGGAAACCCAAGGAGGGGTCACTATAAGTTGGGTCAGACTCCACGGCACATAACAACATGAGCTCAAGGAGAGAGTCACAGTTAGTGAATCTCACTCTGTTAGGTTAATCCTCTCCACCCTTTGAGCCTTGCTCACAGCCAGAACCTACTGCTTGAAGGGACATCCGTTGGGTTGGTTGGAGGTGATAAGTCCATGGAGCTTCCTAGCTCCCAGCCTGTGCTGGGATTCTCAGTGGCCACACTTGCTCTGTGTTGGGTTAAGAAGTGACGCTTTGGGTAAAGATGGTTGCAAAGCTCTTTTCACTCTCAGTTCAACTGAGATAACAGGAGAGGAGAATGATGGATGTATAGGAAGTGGCAGTTCAGCCTTCGCAGAAAATAGACACACAGTGAAAGCAAGGGTAGGGGGACAAAGTGACAGCAAGACAGAGAGGGAAGAGGACAGGGTAAGGAATTCAGATGCAAAGAACTTGAGAGGGGTGGGCTGAGTGGTTGTTCAGATCACTTTTAGCTAAGATCCCTGGTGCTAGCAACAGTAAGAAGGGAGAAGGAAGTGGTAGAAGAGAGGCCCCTATTAGGAAGAAGGTCCAAGTCAGGACTGGGGTGGAAAAAACACATCAGAGCTGTAGAAGAGTGGTTGGGACTCCTGAGACCACCCCACCCCCGCCCCCTTCACTGATGAAGGAAAGCTAAGTCTTGTGGGGGTGTAAACACGTAACTTTAGTCCCTCTATCACAGGTGAGGCGCTCTCTCCTCCATCTTGAGACTGTGGAAGTGGAGGAAGGTCGAATGTGTGGACCACTCCTGCCGTTTTACCAAATGGGCCAGGATGAGTAAGAGTAGGTTAATTGGTAAAAAGCGAAATGTCTGCTGATACCAAGATAATGGTTTCCTGTAGTTGCTTCCTTGACTCCCGTTCTGAGTTTGATTTCACTCAAGGAAATGTGACTGTGTGTCCTCGGTAAAGTCCTTTCTAGCTACATGATGTAATTTGCCGTGAATATGCCACTCCCAGATACTAGACTGGAGCTTTGAGTGAAAGATTTATCACTTGGCTTTTCCTCTCTAGAAGAGAGAAAACTAAGTCAGCCAGAATTCATAACTGATGGTGGATAGGTAGATAAGGTGCTTCTACTAACTGTTACTTACAGGAGAAACAGCAGATCCATCCTGGGTTCCTCAGTGTGTCTTTGTGAAAATGTGTGTGTGAGAGGGAATTTATCTGAGCATATTTCATGGCGTGGTATCTATTTAGATGTGTGTTTGTTGTTGTTGTTGTTGTTTGCTGTCGAGTCGCCCCGACTCATAGCGACCCTTCCTTGGGTTTCCGAGGCAGTATCACTACGGAAGTAGGATTGCCCAACCTTCCTTCCGAGGAGTGGCTGGTGGGTTTGAACTGCCAGCCGTCTGGTGAGCAGTCAAGTGCCTTAGGCACTATGCTACCAGATGTGTGTTTAAGGGCCTGTAAAAGAAAGAGTAGAAATAAAAGGATTGGGGAAGTGAGATGTACCCTTCCAGGGGCTTCAAGGGAGCTTGGGCTCCAGACCCATGACTCAGAGCATAATTTCCCAATAGATCAAGAAGACCAGACCTGGACCAGATACAATCATGGCTGTGGTCTAGGGGCCAGAGAAGGCACAGATGCCCAACTGGCCTAGAAAAATAACAAGAGAATTTCTGGAGGATCCAGATGCTGAGAGCAGGGGAGAAGGGATGGTGGTGTTTTGAATTCCAGACTCCTTTAGGCTTATGAAAGGAGCTTTGGTGGCACAATGCCTAAGACTGCTAACCAGAAGTTTGGCGGTACAAATCCATTAGCCACTCCTCAGAAGGAAGATGGGGCAATATACTTCTGTAAAGATTTACCACCTCTGAAACCCAAAGGGGGTCGCTATGAATTGAAATCTACTGGATAGCAATGGGTTTGGTTTTTTTAGGCGTATGAGAGAGCCCTGGTGGCTCAGTGGTTAAAGCACTTAGCTACTAACTGGAATGTTGGCGGTTTGAACCCACCAGCTGTTCTGCAGGAGAAAGATGAGGCAGTCCGCTTCCATAAAGATTTACAGCCTTGGAAATCCTATGGGGGTGGTTATACTTTGTACTATAGGGTCGCTATGAGTCAGAATGACTGGGCAGTGGGGTTTTGGCTTTGGCTGCATGTGGGGGGAACCTGTTCCCAGGGAATGGAGGGCCCCTCTGGGAGCTGGAGGGAGGGGCAAGGATCAGGCTGAGGGAGTTGTGAGATTTGTAAGGTATAGTCTGCCTGGCTTTGTAAGTTTTCCCTTCAGACCTCAGGGGTTCAGTCGGTGGCCTTCCTACCTTGTGGGTGTACAGAATGGGTGTTCAGCCTAAGGAGGCTACTTAGGGCGCTAGTCTTCTGGCAGCAGAAATAGAGGCCATCCTATCTCCGCAGCGACTTCCGTGGTTTCCCTCGCCGCCTAGCTGCCTGCGTGGAGGCAACGGAGCCTCTGCCCACCCCTCACCTCTCAACAAGCGGTGACAATAATAAGAAAATATCCAGGGCACACCTTCATCTCTTGAGGTGAGAAAAAAAAAAAAAAAATGCTATGAAATCGCCCCCGGGTTCAGAAAGTGCTGCCGAGAGCGGGCAGTTTAAAGGCGGAGAAAATTGGCGAATTTCACTGGTCAATTTGACTTCATTTCGTTCAATTTCATTCCTTTTCATCCGGCGCCGGAGGCCCGAGGCCACAAGGAGGGGGAGGGTGTCTTTCCGGGCAGAATTTTCCCCATCTTGCAGATTTACTTTCTAGGGCTTGAAGAACAGTCCCGACTCTCAAACTTTGAAATACGTTTTTCAGCCGCAACCAAGGGCAGACATTCTGTTTGATTTTATTGACTGGGGTTTTGTTTGGGTGATCGGGGCACATCGATGAGTCTCTCCCTACTTCTCTCTTGCAGCCCAATTAAAGCGGTTAATTCTTTTCACCGCCTATTCCTCCCCATTTTTCTTTCTTTCTCCTGGGGCTCCCCAGACCACCCAGGAGCCAGAGTTGAGGTGGGGGCGGACACTTCCCTTCCATATCCAATTTGTTCTAGCCACAGCG